AGGTCCCCCAGCTTTAAGAATCCCGTCTCAGTGCTTTATCTCACAGTAAACACATGTAGATGCGTCACTGCTGCCCGACCCTTCTGCTGCCGCGGACGCAGAGCAAACAAGTCCACTCCCTCAGGGTCTTTATGCTCTGGGCTTTTGTCGCAGCTGCAGCTTTTGTGGCTCGGTTCACACACACTTCCCTCTCGCTGCGTTTGAAGCTGGAGAAAGAGAACCACAAACGGACGACCAGAGCCAGAAGCACCAGACCTCAGGACACACACAACATTAAAACTGCTCTGGTCGCTTCATGATTATTTTTATAGCACAGTTCTTACACAAGGCAACTCAAAGTGCGGAACAAAACCAGATAGAAACACACATACAACATACGACATAAAAAAAAAAAATTATCTCAGTGGATTAAAAAGAGTGAAGTTAAAACAATTGCATTTAAACCTTGTCATAGAAGCCCGTCTCACACTTTCAGGAAGACTGTAGATTCAACTTTATTGTCATTACAACGTTACAGTCTGCTCCTCAGAGTCCCAGCAGGAGGCCAGTCCCTGTGCTCCTCATGGTCCCAGCAGGAGGCCAGTCCCTGTGCTCCTCATGGTCCCAGCAGGAGGCCAGTCCCTGTGCTCCTCATGGTCCCAGCAGGAGGCCAGTCCCTGTGCTCCTCATGGTCCCAGCAGGAGGCCAGTCCCTGTGCTCCTCAGAGTCCCAGCAGGAGGCCAGTCCCTGTGCTCCTCAGAGTCCCAGAAGGAGGCCGGTCCCTGAACACATTTTTAGCTAAAATTCCAACCATGTAACAGTGATCCACAGCTGTGACAGATCTCAGACAAAAGAGCATCTTCTTCAGCTCTCGCACTGACACTTGTGGCTGCGAGCGTTTGGACAAATTGAATTATGAGCTGGGACCATGTTGTGGGTGGTCCTCTGGTCCCTGGTGAAACTGGTGCTCTGTGTCCACTCTGTCAAAGCACACTCTGACAGACCAAATATTATGCATTATTTCAGTTCCTTTTGGCCTTAAAACCTCATGAACAAGACTTTTTCTTTAGTAAATAGCACAATTTTTTCTGTCAGTCGGACACAGGAGTAGAGCTGAGCAGATCCCTCTCTCATGATGGGTCTCCCTGAGGTTTCTCTCTTTTTCCCTCTGTGTTTCTGAGTGGTTCCTGCAGGAGGCTCTGAGGACAGTGCTGATCTATCGACCAATGACCAATGTGTTTGTTATTATTGCATTTCCTGTGCTTGCACTGTTTGATTCTCTGATCTGTTGTTGGTGAATCCGAAAGTCCTCTGATAAGTCCTGCTGCTGTGATTAAGGCAAGACACAAAGAAGGTGAAAAAAGTTCTGGCATTCAGGACGTCCAAGGCTGTGTGCAAACAGAGAATCGGGCTCTTCTCTGAGGGCCGAGGCAGACAGGGGGAGGAGGGGGAGGAGAGCGTGTGTAATGCGGGTCGCAGGCCCCTGATTTGGGTCACAACTAGATTAAATTAGGTCCCGCCAAATATTTAGGAGGCTTCTGTCTGGAAATTATGTGAGTGTTCATTGAGGGGCTTTAGTGCCATATGAACCAACTCTGAGGAGCACAGGGACTGGCCTCCTGCTGGGACTCTGAGGAGCACAGGGACTGGTCTCCTGCTGGGACTCTGAGGAGCACAGGGACTGGTCTCCTGCTGGGACTCTGAGGAGCACAGGGACTGGTCTCCTGCTGGGACTCTGCGGAGCACAGGGACTGGTCTCCTGCTTGGACTCTGAGGAGCACAGGGTCTGGTCTCATGCTGGGACTCTGCGGAGCACAGGGACTGGTCTCCTGCTGGGACTCTGAGGAGCACAGGGACTGGTCTCCTGCTGGGACTCTGAGGAGCACAGGGACTGGTCTCCTGCTGGGACTCTGAGGAGCACAGGGACTGGTCTCCTGCTGGGACTCTGCGGAGCACAGGGACTGGTCTCCTGCTGGGACTCTGAGGAGCACTATGTTTTCAGTGCTTTGTGTGATTGTTTTGTTCAGCGCTTGAGTTGTGTATAAACTGTGCTTAACAAATAAACTTGAGTTTCCACATAATTAATAATAATCACGCAGGAATTGTTTCACTTTAGTTCATTTAAAGCTGGACCTCAGTATTAAAGAAGCTATACCCGATTTTTTTTCTAAGTAGTTCATAAAAATGCTTTTTACTACATACAAGTTGTATCATAATACATCATTTAATTGAAAACTTGAGGTCATTGATTCAGCTGTGTATGAAATTCAAGCAGTGAAAAGTGCTGAGTAGAGTCTGAGCGGCCGCTCTTTCTCCTCCGCTCACAGAACGTGCAGCGACCAGCCTGCGTCCTCTAGCCCCTACAGCGCTGCTTAACACCAGGACTTCAAAATTCGAATATAATTCTAAAATAAAAAAGGATGAACAAAATAATTGAATAAAAAAATGTGAACAAATATTAGACAACCCTTGTAATTCGAAATGTATTTAATGACTGCAAATATAATAGTTAGCTCCCAAAGGTTTCACCGGGACGTGCTAGGCAGGTAACAGCTAAGCTAGCTAGCTGTTTCATGGTAACTTCCGGGTTTTTCGCAATCGCTTTTTGTCACATTGAAACAGTATTTTTGTCATGAAAACGTTAACAGCAAATTCTGAAATCATCCGTGCATGTGTGTTAAGGATGTATATGTGTACTGTATTGTCCGATTGACGTTTAATGGTGTTGATTGATAGATATGTAGTTGTTTATTGAGCGTGGCTAGCTCCGCTAGCTCCGTTGGCTTCTCTACACAGACAAGTGTGTAGTGACAGGTGCTGAAAGCGTTTTGTACTTGCAGAGTAATGGCAGTATTTTACACACCTGAATTACAAACAGAGGTTGCATTGGGGCTTCGGTCATTATTAGTTTGAGAGTTCTGTTATCAAGAAAAATGATCGGAAGAATTGCTGCTGCTGCTTTGAGGAGCTCTATAACAAATTATAATTAAATATTAGACTATATTCTAAGGTTTTAAATTAATACATTCGGACGCGAAACTAGTGGTATTCTTTTACTTATATATCGTGTTAGCAGTGCGTTGCTTTAGTACCATTTCATCAGTGATTGTTGCACAGCTTATAAGAAGTTGCGCTAATGCTAATGTTAGCATATGTATCAGATCGCAAATAAAACTAGGTGGCTCTGTGTTATGAGAGCGTAGGGCAAATGAGAAGCCATTGAGCGAGTTGGGGGGCAGTGCTAAACATTCAAACATTGCAGAAACGGGTATAGCGCCTTTAAATGTTGGTTCACTAGTTTTCACATCATTCTGTCTCGGTCACATCTTTGACAGAAAAGTGTAACAGAGAGGACCCCCCTCTCTGTCTCTGTGCTCTGGTCTCTCTCTCTCTCTGTCTCTGTGCTCCGGTCTCTCTCTCTCTCTGTCTCTGTGCTCTGGTCTCTCTCTCTCTGTCTGTCTCTGTGCTCCGGTCTCTCTCTCTCTCTGTCTCTGTGCTCCGGTCTCTCTCTCTCTCTGTCTCTGTGCTCTGGTCTCTCTCTCTCTCTGTCTCTGTGCTCCGGTCTCTCTCTCTCTGTCTCTGTGCTCTGGTCTCTCTCTCTCTGTCTGTCTCTGTGCTCCGGTCTCTCTCTCTCTCTGTCTCTGTGCTCTGGTCTCTCTCTCTCTCTGTGCTCCGGTCTCTCTCTCTCTCTGTCTCTGTGCTCCGGTCTCTCTCTCTCTGTCTCTGTGCTCCGGTCTCTCTCTCTCTCTGTCTCTGTGCTCCGGTCTCTCTCTCTCTCTGTCTCTGTGCTCCGGTCTCTCTCTCTCTCTGTCTCTGTGCTCCGGTCTCTCTCTCTCTGTCTCTGTGCTCTGGTCTCTCTCTCTCTCTGTCTCTGTGCTCTGGTCTCTCTCTCTCTGTCTCTGTGCTCCGGTCTCTCTCTCTCTGTCTCTGTCTCTGTCTCTCTCTTCTTGTCTCTGTGCTCGGTCTCTCTCTCTCTCTGTCTCTGTGCTCCGGTCTCTCTCTCTCTCTGTCTCTGTGCTCTGGTCTCTCTCTCTCTCTGTCTCTGTGCTCCGGTCTCTCTGTCTCTGTGCTCTGGTCTCTCTCTCTCTGTCTCTGTCCCTGTGCTCTGGTCTCTATCTCTCTGTCTGTATCTCTCTTCTCTCTCTCTCTCTCTCTCTCTCTGTCTCTGTGCTCTGGTCTCTATCTCTCTGTCTGTATCTCTCTTCTCTCCCTCTCTCTCTCTCTGTCTCTGTGCTCTGGTCTCTATCTCTCTGTCTGTATCTCTCTTCTCTCCCTCTCTCTCTCTCTGTCTCTGTGCTCTGGTCTCTCTCTCTCTGTCTCTGTCTCTGTCCCTGTGCTCTGGTCTCTATCTCTCTGTCTGTATCTCTCTTCTCTCTCTCTCTCTCTGTCTCTGTGCTCTGGTCTCTATCTCTCTGTCTGTATCTCTCTTCTCTCCCTCTCTCTCTCTCTGTCTCTGTGCTCTGGTCTCTCTCTCTCTGTCTCTGTCTCTGTCCCTGTGCTCTGGTCTCTATCTCTCTGTCTGTATCTCTCTTCTCTCTCTCTCTCTCTCTCTCTCTCTGTCTCTGTGCTCTGGTCTCTATCTCTCTGTCTGTATCTCTCTTCTCTCCCTCTCTCTCTCTCTGTCTCTGTGCTCTGGTCTCTCTCTCTCTGTCTCTCTCTCTGTCCCTGTGCTCTGGTCTCTATCTCTCTGTCTGTATCTCTCTTCTCTCTCTCTCTCTCTCTCTCTCTGTCTCTGTGCTCTGGTCTCTATCTCTCTGTCTGTATCTCTCTTCTCTCCCTCTCTCTCTCTCTGTCTCTGTGCTCTGGTCTCTATCTCTCTGTCTGTATCTCTCTTCTCTCTCTCTCTCTCTCTCTGTCTCTGTGCTCCGGTCTCTATCCCTCTGTCTCTCTGTGTCTCTGTCTCTGTCCCTATGCTCTGGTCTCTATCTCTCTGTCTGTATCTCTCTTCTCTCTCTCTCTCTCTCTCTCTGTCTCTGTGCTCCGGTCTCTATCTCTCTGTCTCTGTCCCTGTGCTTCGGTTTCTATCTCTGGTCCTTGTCGTGTTGACCCCCAGGACCCCGGATCAGCTGACCTGGTTTTCCCATGATGCCGTGGGGCACCAGGAAGGCACAGTCAACGTTTTGCGCAGGACAATGGATGTGGCTGAGTGAGTGTTTACAGAGCAGCTGTTCAAACTCAGGTGCAAACACCACCCTCCCACGCTACATACCAACCACCAGGACCTGGGAGAGAGGGGGAGAGTAGAATAGAGTAAAGTAGTGTCAGCTAGAGTAGAGTAGAGTAGAGTAGAGTAGAGTAGAGTAGAGTAGAGTAGAGTAGAGTAGAGTAGAGTAGAGTAGAGCAGGGTAGAGTACATCTCGTTCCTCCTCATCTCTCTGTGATTGTGGTTATTAATTATCGTAGCATCTTTCCGCAGGCTATCAGCGCAGTGCGGCTAATTGAGCGATTAAACAATGACTGGTCCTGAGGGAGTGTGTGTGTGTGTGTGCGTGTGTGTGTGCGTGTGTCTGTGTGAGAGTGTGTGTGTTCGTGTGTGTGTGTGTGTGTGTGTGTGTGTGTGTGTGTGTGTGTGTGCGTGTGTGTGTGCGTGTGTCTGTGTGAGAGTGTGTGTGTTCGTGTGTGTGTGTGTGTGTGTGCGTGTGTCAACTGGTGTCTTTGAAAACAAGGCCCATGTACAGAATGTATTTATTTATTTTATTGTTTCCATTTGATCAGTTACATATTTAAGATTAAGATGAAGATATTTCTTATTCGTCCCTCGGCGGGGAAATGTCAGTGTTGCATCAGCAGTTACAGAACAGAACTACACCAATGGTACGACTGCAATCACTGGGTTTGAACTGTATTTCCACTGTGTTTCTCTTTGAAGGTGAAAAAGTAGATTTTCCCCTTTTTGCTGTGACAGAGATTAGTGTTCTGGCCCTGTCCAGCAGGAGGTCAGGACACTGGTGTTTATAGACACAGGTACACTGGTGTTTATAGACACAGGTACACTGGTGTTTATAGACACAGGTACACTGGTGTTTATAGACACAGGTACACTGGTATTTATAGACACAGGTACACTGGTGTTTATAGACACAGGTACACTGGTATTTATAGACACAGGTACACTGGTGATTTATAGACACAGGTACACTGGTCTACAGGTACACTGGTGTTTGTAGACACAGGTACACTGGTGTTTATAGACACAGGTACACTGGTCTACAGGTACACTGGTGTTTGTAGACACAGGTACACTGGTGTTTATAGACACAGGTACACTGGTGTTTATAGACACAGGTACACTGGTGTTTATAGACACAGGTACACTGGTGTTTATAGACACAGGTACACTGGTGTTTATAGACACAGGTACACTGGTCTTTATAGACACAGGTACACCGGTGTTTATAGACACAGGTACACTGGTCTTTATAGACACAGGTACACTGGTGTTTGTAGACACAGGTACACTGGTTTTTATAGACACAGGTACACTGGTCTACAGGTACACTGGTGTTTATAGACACAGGTACACTGGTGTTTATAGACACAGGTACACTGGTGTTTATAGACACAGGTACACTGGTGTTTATAGACACAGGTACACTGGTCTTTATAGACACATGTACACTGGTCTTTATAGACACAGGTACACTGGTCTACAGGTACACTGGTGTTTGTAGACACAGGTACACTGGTGTTTATAGACACAGGTACACTGGTGTTTATAGACACAGGTACACTGGTGTTTATAGACACAGGTACACTGGTGTTTATAGACACAGGTACACTGGTCTTTATAGACACAGGTACACTGGTCTTTATAGACACAGGTACACTGGTCTACAGGTACACTGGTGTTTATAGACACAGGTACACTGGTCTTTATAGACACAGGTACACTGGTGTTTATAGACACAGGTACACTGGTGTTTATAGACACAGGTACACTGGTCTTTATAGACACAGGTACACTGGTGTTTGTAGACACAGGTACACTGTTTTTTATAGACACAGGTACACTGGTCTACAGGTACACTGGTGTTTGTAGACACAGGTACACTGGTCTTTATAGACACAGGTACACTGGTCTACAGGTACACTGGTGTTTATAGACACAGGTACACATGTGTTTATAGACACAGGTATACTGGTCTTTATAGACACAGGTACACTGGTCTTTATAGACACAGGTACACTGGTCTTTATAGACACAGGTACACCGGTGTTTATAGACACAGGTACACTGGTCTTTATAGACACAGGTACACTGGTGTTTGTAGACACAGGTACACTGGTCTTTATAGATACAGGTACACTGGTCTACAGGTACACTGGTGTTTATAGACACAGGTACACCGGTGTTTATAGACACAGGTACACTGGTGTTTATAGACACAGGTACACTGGTCTTTATAGACAAAGGTACACTGGTGTTTGTAGACACAGGTACACTGGTCTTTATAGACACAGGTACACTGGTGTTTGTAGACACAGGTACACTGGTCTTTATAGACACAGGTACACTGGTGTTTGTAGACACAGGTACACTGGTCTTTATAGACACAGGTACACTGGTCTTTATAGATACAGGTACACTGGTGTTTGTAGACACAGGTACACTGGTCTTTATAGACACAGGTACACTGGTGTTTGTAGACACAGGTACACTGGTCTTTATAGACACAGGTACACTGGTCTTTATAGATACAGGTACACTGGTGTTTGTAGACACAGGTACACTGGTCTTTATAGACACAGGTACACTGGTCTTTATAGACACAGGTACACTGGTGTTTGTAGACACAGGTACACTGGTCTTTATAGACACAGGTACACTGGTGTTTGTAGACACAGGTACACTGGTTTTTATAGACACAGGTACACTGGTCTTTATAAACACAGGTACACTGTTGTTTATAGACACAGGTACACTGGTGTTTGTCGACACAGGTACACTGGTGTTTATAGACACAGGTACACTGGTGTTTATAGACACAGGTACACTGGTGTTTATAGACACAGGTACACTGGTGTTTTTAGACACAGGTACACTGGTGTTTATAGACACAGGTACACTGGTGTTTTTAGACACAGGTACACTGGTGTTTTTAGACACAGGTACACTGGTGTTTTTAGACACAGGTACACTGGTGTTTATAGACACAGGTACACTTGTGTTAGGGTTAGCTTTTAAGTCCAGATTTAGAGCACTGAGACATTGACACGTATCTGTTTAGAAATCTTTAATTGTATGTAACTTTTGCTGTCTCCATTGAAAAAGGTTAAATCAAAATTGTGGCCAGTTATTGATGTGGTCATTAGAACGCGTTAAAGTCCTGATTGAAGATTAGATTCTTTACACCGTGTGTCTCTGTTTGAAGGATCCTCTCTGCTCTCATAAATCCTTGCTTTTCTTTGCATTATCTGATTGCTATGGCGGGTTGTCATGGTTACTGACAAGCCCAAGACGATGATCACCTCTTGTATGAGCGTAAGTGTAAGTGTCCTGGATGAGTATTACTGCAGATGAGAAGGTGTGAGTCCTACATTACCCACGATGCCCCTCTCCTCCCAATCACAGGACCGCGAACAGAACCGGCTCACGTGGTCCCTCTAATGACACGGTACTCCAGCTCTCATCAGGGAGAGAGACGCCTCAGACATTACAGCAGCGGCAGCATTTTTGAAATCTGGATGTGTAAAAGAGTCTGAAGGAGAGAGTTTAAAGTTGAACAAATACACAGTGGTTTGTCACGGGGGTGATGTGTTCTAGAAATAACAACTAAAGATATTACAATAAGTGAAAAGTTTGAAGTGGTAGCTTTGTGTCTTAAGGCTGTACAACTCCAGAGCAAAGAGAGAAAGACCAGAGAGAGATCAGAGAGAAAGACCAGAGGGAGAGACCAGAGAGAGAGACACCAGAGAGAGATGAGAGAGAGATCAGAGAGAAAGACCAGAGAGAGACCAGAGAGAGATTAGAGAGAAAGACCAGAGAGAGAGACACCAGAGAGACACCAGAGAGATCAGAGGGAGAGACCAGAGAGAGAGACCAGAGAGAGATCAGAGAGAAAGACCAGAGAGAGAGACACCAGAGATAGATCAGAGAGAGAGATCAGAGGGAGAGACCAGAGAGAGAGAGAAGAAAAAGAGAGATCATAGAGAGACCAGGGAGAGAGAGACCAGAGAGAGAAAAAAAGGAGAGAGAGAGACCAGAGAGAGACTGGAGAGTGACCAGACGTAGACCAGAAAGAGAGAGACCAGAGAGAGAACCTACGCAGGAGAACATGCAAACTCCACTCAGAGAAGCCCTGTTCAGACCACACATCCACAAACTACTCTACATCCTTTTATCACAAACAGTTTCTCTCTGAATCTCTCTAGTTTTTTGTCCTGTTCAAATATTGTCTCTGTGTCTGTGCACTTCAGGATCCAGGCTCCTCACCTCCACATAATCACATCACAGATCACGCTCCCCTCTCTGCCGCACACAGACCACAGACCCTCACAATCAACACTCAAATAATATCTTGCACAAATTGCTGCATCCCATAATTTACCCCTTCTCTCTCTCTCCCTCTCTCTCTTTGCTGCTGCGTCGACACACTTCTGATCTGTGGAAACTGCATGTCTGACGAAACATAATTGAAGAACATAACTACAGGACATCCCAGAATAAGGCTGATTTTGTGGTTGTCACGGCGACACTGATGGGGGTTATCCTGTTTTTGTGTCTGTGCTTAAAGGGGCACTGTGGAATATTTCTTTATCTGGTCTCTCCCTTGTCTCTCTCTGGTCACTTTATCTTGTCTCTCTCTCTGGTTTCACTCTCTTCTCTCTCTCTCTGCTCTCTCTCTCTGGTCTCTCTCTCTGCTCTCTCTCTCTGGTCTGTCTCTCTGGTCTCACTCTCTGGTCTCTCTCTCTGGTACCTCTCTCTCTGGTCTCTCTCTCTGGTCTCACTCTCTGGTCTCTCTCTCTGGTCCCTCTCTCTCTGGTCTCTCTCTCTGGTCTCACTCTCTGGTCTCTCTCTCTGGTCTCTCTCTCTGGTCTCTATCTCTGGTCTCACTCTCTGGTCTCACTCTCTGGTCTCTCTCTCTTCTCACTCTCTCTCTGGTTTCTCTCTAACCTCTTGCTCTGGTCTCTCTCTAGTCTCTCTCTCTCTGGTCTCTCTCTAACTTCATTCTCTGATTTCTCTGTCGTGTCTCTCTCTCTGGTCTCTCTCACTTCTCTCTCTCTAACCTCCTCTACAGGTCCCTCTCTCCAGTCTCTTTCTCTTGTCCTCTCTCTGGTCTCTCCAGTCTCTCGCTCGTCTCTCTGGTCAGTCTCTCTCAGGTCACACTCTCTTGTCTCTTTCTGGTCTCTCTTGCTGGTCACTCTCTCTGGTCACTCTCTTTTCTCTCTCTAGTGTAGATATTTACACTTATTCAATGTGAAGAAAAATCTTATAAAAAAGTAAAATATAGGAAAAGTATAAGCTACATAAAGAAACAAAATACACAACTGAGAAACACTTAATAATAATAATTTGCATTCGGGCCTCAACCTGCAGTGCCCTGACTGGGGCGGCTGCAGCTGTGACCTCCACACAACAGACACAGATCATAAATCCTGGACCTTCTTCCTCCATCGCAGCTTTAATGCTCTTCGTGGCATCAGATAAAAGCGGCTGCAGCAGGTGAGTGACGGGCGGAGACTGGCACCGACTCAATTCTTAAACAAACAGGAAGAAAACTTTGATTCATGTCGATGCGCAGAGAAAGGACTGGAACGCACTGTCAGAACTTCTTGGATCTGATTAGACCATCTCAGGCACCCTCAGAACCTCCGAGACTCCCTCAGAACCTCCCAGACTCGCTCAGAACCTACCAGACCCTCTTAGAACCTCCCAGACCTTCTCCCAGACCCCATTTAACCTTCCCGACCCTCTCGGAACCTACCAGACTCACTTAGAACTTCTTCGACCCTCTCGGAACCTACCAGACTCACTTAGAACTTCCTCGACCCTCTCGGAACCTACCAGACTCACTTAGAACTTCCTCGACCCTCTCGGAACCTACCAGACTCTCCCAGACTCTCCCAGACTCTCCCAGACTCTCCCAGACTCTCCCAGACCCCCCCAGACCCTCTCAGACTCTCTCAGACTCTCTCAGACTCTCTCAGACTCTCTCAGACTCTCTCAGAACCTCTTTGACACAGGGAACATAGGCCCCGAGCTCTTTCAGTCTTGAAAATATTCTATAGTTTATAGTTTGGGTCTGTGGAATACTAATGAGGCCAAAACTACACACACACGCACAAACACAATAACACTCGTGCACACATGGAAACATGCACGCACACACACACACACACAAAAACACTAACACAAACATTTGAAATCCAGGGATAGAATCACACTGAAAGTTATTTTACAGTTTGAAAGTTAGGGACAGCAGCTTTAAAGTACCTGCTCAAACACACGCCTCTCTCTGTTTGTGGCGGCCGCCTGTAGCCGCAGCTGCCCTGAGGCTCGGCCCGCGGCGCACAGACGTAGCACGCGATCGTTGCGACGCTTCCGGATGCGACTGAACATGTTGGTCCTGGCGCTCTGACATTAGAGTCGTTATAATTTGTCAAAGCTCGTATAATGCAGAGATCAAAGAGAACGCGACGCAGAGCGACCACTTCAAACGACGCCTGCAACAATCTGACGACTTGTTGTCGCGCATCAAATCAAAGAGCCAGCAGTCAAAAGGACGGGTGACGTGCGCAGAACTGTGACACGCTCTGCTGCAGGAGGACAGTGAGGAGAGCACCTGCTGCTGTACACACACACACAGACATAGAGAAACACACAACCAGAGTGCCAAGTCTCCCAAGCTACACAGATGAACAATTCTACTCCTTCGTCCAAACGAAACCATGCAAAGCTCTAGTTTCAGTTTTCATTTTCGCAGCTGCTGTTAAATGCAGAATAATGTTGGTTCTCTCACATCTTTGCAGTGGCCTGAGGAGGATGTTGTTGAGGAAGTGGTTATACTGGTGAGGGTCGCCCCTACTGGCCGGGTGCTAGAACTACATCCTTTTTTGCCGTGTATCCGCTTAGCACTTCAAATACGGAGCCTGGACGCTTTTGCAAATTGCTTTGCAGCATCTTCGCAGCGCAGAGAAAGAAACACACACACACACAAAGAGAGAGAGAGAGAGAGAGAGAGAGAGAGAAATTAGATTTTATATATGTCAAATTATAATACAAAATATAGACATGCTGTTGATGCTCCAGATAATCCATGTTAATAATTACTATGTTAATAATAATTAATGTGTATTTTACACACATTCATTTTGCATTTGCAAATTAATGAGATAATTGTTTCATATTAAATCCATTTTCTTCTCTTGTTTTTGTGTTGTTGCTGATGTACTGTGTGTGTTGCTCTTTGATATAAGGCCACAAACTTGACTGATCCTTGAGTGTTTGAAGGAGCAACATTCACAGAGACCTTGTTTACACGTCTGTATTTAAATATCAATACAAGGCCTTGAAAAATAGAGTATTTATGTATGAAGTGTGCGTTCACATGTAAATGTTTGAACACATGTGTGCGACATAAACGTACCTCAGGTTTCACCTCAGGTGTCTAAAGTCAGGGTTTGTAGTGTCCTAACCCTGAAAAGTGGCTCCTTCAATTACATGGACTTTATTACATTTTTAATGTCAGGCTTAAAACAGTCCTCTCTAATTCAGCTCATGGCATCGGGGAGGTGAGACTTACTGTAGAGATAAAACCTTAAGTCGATGAACACATGTTGTCGGTGAAGCTCATAGACTGTAAATATTAACAAACCTAGTCACGCTTATTTCCGCCATTGAAACTAATGTGCCACCACTTTTGCCATCTGTGGGCTTTTACAAAATGGCTACATGGCAGGTAAATAAGAGAAAACGCACTTGCGCATGCGTTAGCCGACATGAGCCCCATGCGTTTGACGAGTGCATTCAGACGTCCTTAGCGGCTAAACTAGAGTGTCACTCCCCTCAGCATTGGCACACATCTGGTCACACACTTTTGGACCAGGCTGTAAAGCTGTTTTCGAGAGGAAAGAGGGCAGCATACACAAGTATTGGATAATGCTTTTTCTTGGTCCACCCCCACAGGCCCGGAGTGATATTGCAAGCAGTACTCCTGGACCTTTTTGAGTCGGGATCCGCCCCCATTGCTTTGAGGTCACGTGTGATTGGTCGCAGTAAAAAAAGCAGATTAACTTTCACTTATAAATATCAAAAGTATCACAATGAAGACATATTTTTCAATATTTCCTGCAGCCCATGATCAAATGTTAGATTGATCAAGTTGTGTGTGTGTGTGTGTGTGTGTGAGAGAGAGATTTGGGTCCCCACATTGTCATAATTACCAAACCACATACACTGCCCCTCTCACCTGCCGCCCTGAGCCCTTGTCTGGACACATCTGTTTGTCTTCTGCATTAGCTGTATTCTCATGTGTGTGTGTGTGTGTGTTTGTGTGTGTTTGTGTGTGTGTGTGTGTGTGTGTGTGTGTGTGTGTGTGTGTGTGTGTGTGTCATGTGTTTGTGTGTGGGAACGGTCTCCTATAACGACTATAACTGAATGGACATCGCTCAGCCGGTTTCACTTTTATAATTACGTTCTGGAGACACCTTTAAGTAAACATATACCTCTCTATGTATATGATGAAGGACAATAGGACTCCCTGTGCACACGATTGTTGGCCTCAATGAGCCAATCAGCTCTAGGTCCAAAGAGTCAAGAAAAGGAGGCAAACAATGCAAAAGATGTGTTTAATGAAAAGATTTTTTGTGGTTGATTTGTTCACGAGATTCTCGCTGTTGGAAGAAAATGTAACATGCAGCATGAGGCTGATCTGAATCTGAATGTTTATCTTTGCAGACGTTACAATACTAAAGTCATAATATTATGAGAAGAAAGTCAAACTCAGGAAACGTTATAGTATGAGATCTCTCTCTCTCTGGTCTCTATATCTGGTCTCTCTCTCTGGTCTCTCTCTATGGTTTCTCTCCCAGGTCTCTCTCTGGTCCCTCTCTTAGGTCTCTCATGGTTTAGTCTCTATCTAGCTCTTGTTTCTCAATCTCTGGACTCTCGCTCTGGTCTCTCTTTAGACTCTCTCTGTTCTCTCTCTTAGTCTCTCTCCGGTCTCTACCTCCGGTCTCTATCTCTGGTCTCTCTCTCTGGTTTCTCTGGTTTCTCTGGTCTCTCTCTCAGTCTCTCTCTGGTCTCTCTCTCTGGTTTCTCTGGTCTCTCTCTGATCTCTCTCTGGTCTCTCTCTGGTCTCTCTCTCTGGTCTCTGTCCCTCTCTCTTTGGTGTTTTTCTTGTCTCTCTTTTTTCTCTCTCTCGGGTCTTTCTCTCTTTTTTTCTGGTCTCTCGCTGGTCTTTCTTTGGTTTCTCTCTGGTCTAGTTTTAGTCTCTCTCTGGTCTCTCTCTGGTCTCCCTCCAGTCCCTCTCAACAAAACAGTAAAATCAACTAAACTAAACAACTCATTAAAAACTTATATCAATGAATCGGTAAAACTGTAACATTCTTTCACCAGTTTTTCCAATCTCCTCCGAGGTGAACTCCTTTTGTGAGGGACATTTCACCCTTTTCCCAATCTATTTACTCTGAGAAAACAAGCCTCCCACTCATATTTCTTTATCAAATTGAATGTAATACTTGGCCCGGTGCCCGTGGGGAGCGATAAAAGCAGCTCTTCATGTTTCGTAGTTGCGTCGATCGACACGATACGAGCACAAAGCCATGAATGGGGCCTCGGCGCCACAAAAGACGGCGAAGCATCCGTGTTTGCCCGAAGATAGCTCCCAAACAAATGACTTCAGACGATAATTAGTGCGCCGTGCTGATCGTTTATTTGTCTTACGCCGAACATATCTCCTTCCCGCAGCCTTCGAGATAAACCGCGACACCCAATTAATAGGAATAGCTTCAAAAAATCCATCTCGCCAATTAGCAAAGCGCTTGCCCTTTAAAGATAGCGTAATGGCCGACTCCATAGAACTAGCTAGAGGCGCGGGCTGCGGAGAGGCGCGCAGAAACAATGCCCAGTGATTTCCTTAATTATATCCCATAGAACTAATGTGTAGTGGGATTAATTATTTGGACGTGATACGAGACCGCGCATTATCCGAGACATCGTGGGAGAAAAGGATCTCGACTGTCAGTCAGCGAGGAGCACAAAAAAAACCCCAAATCAAATTAAGGAAAAGGAAGAGAAGAACGGAGGCAACAAAAGCCAGAGCCGTGTTATTGTATGCAGCAGGCGCAGAGGAGGATGCGGGATTGGTTTGTGTTTTGTGAGAGTTTTAAAGCGTAGAGGAAGCAGAGGATCATGGGAAGTGTAGTAGAAAGGACCCTCTGTTGTTTAGAGTCTGGAGGATTAAGGTTTGAAGCAGAAATTGTGCTCTGGAAAAAGTTTCTATGAGGATTGCATGGTTTACTACTACTACTACTACTACTACTACTACTACTACTACTACTACTTCTACTATTACTGTCACTATTACTACTACTACTACTAATGTGATTATTACTACTACTGTTACTATTACTACTACTACTAGTTCTACAGTTACTATTACTACTACTACTACTGTTTCTATTACTACTACCACTACTACTACTACTACTAACACTGCTAATGTTACTATTCTGCATTTAACATGTTGCAAATTTTTTTCTTTTGCACAATCTTGAGTGTTTCTATCCATGCCAGATGTGACATGTCAATTTTTCCTGTGTGAGATCAATAAAGTCAATCTTATCTTATTACTACTAGTACTACTATTGTTACTATTACTTCTATTATTACTATTACTACTGCTGTTTCTATAACTACTAGTTTCAGTTTGAATCCATTCTAATTAAGTATCATGGGCAAAAGTGCAGGGCGACAGTGGCTCAGTTGGTAGAGCATTTGCCTTTGAGCCTGAAGGTCGTGGGTTCGAGCCCACCATAAGGCCTACTTCACGACTCCCACTGATGACTACTGTTGTTGTTGTGTCCTTGGGCAAGACACTTAACCCCACTTTGCCTGAAGTCCCCCCTGAAAGATCAAGGCTCCTGTGGACTCACCACCTGCAGGAGGAACAGCGGCTGGTTCTCTGTGTACTGGGTGCAGCTCTGACTGCCACCCCCCGACCCAGAAATGGATAAAGGGGGAGAAAAGAGATTGATGGACAAAAGTGCCCAGCCACATGGATTTATTGGACACAGTTTACAATAAACATCTCATACAGAGTACAGGATCTGTTGTTTCCTCTTCAAGCTTTAGCAAAAAAGAAGGTAAGGCAACAACTTAATTGTGATACATCCAGTTCATAATTTCACCCTCAAGTTGAAAGACTCAGGATTAGAAGCTACTCTTTCAAATAAAATATTTCGATACTCAAAGTAAAGTGGACAGTACAAAACAAAATGAGGCTCATCCTCTACCACCTCCAGGTCACGTACTGCACAGATACAGACCTCTTCAGGAACAGCTCTGCACTACCAGGACTGAGGATGTCGATCCAGGACTGAGACTTTGAGACTGTAGTT